TGGGGGTTCAATTCCCCATCATGCCTCCAGAAAGTAAAGCCAGCCTATGTGGCCCGTGGGCAAGCTGCACAGTCCCAGAAGGGAAGGGTAAATCACTTCTGCGCTTTGTCTGCCTGGGAAACCCTGAAAAGGGTCACTATAAATCAGAACTGACTGGACGGCACAAAGTTATAAATATTTCTCCATCAAAAAAAATCTGCCTTGTGATTATACCTGACACCTTGCCTATGGGGGATAAGACAGTGGTCTCTCATATCACCCAGTATTTGCTTTTCAGAAGCTTCTGTCTGGATTTCCTCTGGGGACCGGCCAGTTCACATTTTAATGTGAACTCACATAACGTGCACTTCCCAAACCAAAGCACAGTTCAAAAGTCACATCTTCTTAATTTTTCCAAAGCAGTTCTCAAATAAAAAACAAAATACAGTTGTGCCCCGCTCCGTCGGGTTTCAAAATGGCCGCCGGCTGAAGAAAATGGCCCCCCGCTGTTTTCTAGGACTGATTCCTCACTTTACAGGCACCGAAAATGGCCGCCGTATGGAGGATCTTCGCTGGACGAGCAGGTATTCAGCCCATTGGAATGCATTGAACGGTTTTCAATGCGTTTCAATGGTTTTTTAAAATTTTGTTTGACGACGTTTTCACTCTACAGCGATTTTGCTGGAACAAATTAACGTAGTCAAGCGAGGCACCACTATACGGCAGCTGCCCCCAGACTATGGAATGCCCTCCCGACTGAGATTCGTCTGGCGCCGACGCTGATGACATTTCGCTGCCAGGTCAAAACCTTCCTGTTCCAGAAGGCTTTTAATTGAAATAATATTAGCTGTGGGTCTGATGGCAATTTTAATTGTATTTTAATTGTATTTTAATTATTTTATCTTTTACTGTATTGAATTTTAATTATTGTAAGCCGCCCAGAGACCTCTGGGTAGTGTCGGCGGCATATAAATTGACTGAATGAATGAATGAATGAATAAATAAATAAATATACATGTATCAAATTTTTTAAAAAACGTAAAAATTCAGTACACTGGGCAGGCAGGGCGCTTGCAATAATGCACAACAAAGCTGTAAGCCAGTGGTTGCCAAATTGGCAACCCAGCTGGTTCTTGGACTGCAGCTCCCAGAAACCCTGGCCAGCTCAGCTGGCGGTGAAGGCTTCTGGGAATTGCAGTCCAAGAACACGTGGGTTACCTAAGGTTCGGAACCACTGCTTTAGGCAAAAAGTACACAAAAATACATGTCAGTCAGGATTATTCTTTTAGATAGACCGGCTGGTAGGGTGGGGGAGAACCGGAGCAGGATTTATTCTTTAACCCCAAACATTTCTAACCTAAGACCTGGGAGACCATTAAATGAATGCCAAGAAAACGCACATGCCTTCCAAACACACACACACAAAAAATGGCAAACCGAGGCAGGAATACGACAAAAACAGAAGACGGGGGGAAAAATGAGAGAAAATAAACTCGATCTTGCCCATCCTTCACTGTGTCTCCCAACGAGCTAGAAATTGAAGGCCGGGAATATAGACTTGCATCTCTTACAGAGTGGTAAATTTTTTTGGCAATCTCTCCTGAGGTTGCATGCTCCAAAATGCACGTATCTGCTACAAGCAGAGACTCTGCCTCAGAGGCCTCCAGAAGCGGCTCCTTTCCCATCCCTCGCCTCAAGCAAGGGAAAATCGCACCTCACACCACCATTAATTATTTATAATGAAAGAGGTTAGAACAGACACTTGCAAAGATCTGGTTTTTTCCCCTCTTTTTTTTTTTTTTTTGGCAGCCTCTGGTTTTGTGTTGCGTTGCTGAAACGGTTGTGCCAACGGCTGAAACAGGGAATTTTATAATTTCATGCATTCCATAGGGTAGAATCATGGGAGTGTAATACAAGCAGCTGGCGTGACTTATACAAGGAAAGGCCTCGGAGAGCGTTTTGAAATGCTTTACGAATTCCCTCTGGAAGTCGCACATCAAGCTGACCAGTTATGTCCGGCATTTTTTTTGCTCCCCACACCTGCTTCTAAAGGGGGCGTTCCTGACCCAAAAAGCGCTGAAATGGCCCCGGCAAACCTTCCACTTCACCCATAACTCATCCAAGGGGCTGGCCAAGATGACTCGGTGGGAATAAATATGTCTACACTTGTTCCTAGGTAGTCCGTTTTCTTTTTCGCTTTCCAGCATTTCCCTCTGTAGCAAAATTAATCACACGGAATCCTAATGCTGATTTTATTGATCCGGCAATTAGGAATGGCCACACCAGCCCAGCCCATGGCAAGTTCAATGGCAAGCTTTTTTCATGCTCACTTCTTCAGACATATGGAATAAAGGGAAATACAGCGGTGCCTCGACTTATGAACATCCCGATGTACAACCATTTCGAGTTACAACCAGCTCCAGCTGCAAAATTTTTGCTTCTACTTGTGACTGGAGCTTCCACTTATAAACAGAAAAAGGCAGGGGAAAACGATGGGGAATTCAAACTGCTAACTGTAGGTGGCGAAAGAGGCAGCTTCTTTGTAGTTCTTTTGCCCCAAAAGTTACAGAGTGTGCGATCGGAGGAGGCTTGGGACTGCCTCGCTTCTGCTTCTGAGTAGACATGTATGTGTTTGCAGGGAGGCTTCGGGCTGCCTGGTAAGGTAAGGTGCCGTTTTTTGCTTTCAAAAACTGTTCTGGGTGTTTCTGCAGCGTGGTTTTGAGCTGGGGGGGGTTATGTTTCTGTGCTGTGATGGGTCTTGGGGGGTTGTTTGTTCCCCCCATTTCCGATGGGTCTTGTGATTTTTTGTTGCTTTTTAGTGATTCTTCCTACGTCCAATAGGTCTTGGAGGTTTGTTTGTTTTTTGGTCTGCCCCATTTCTGATGGGTATTAGGGGTTTTGGTTGCTTTTTGGGTCCCCCCCCATTTCCGATGGGTCTTGGGGGGTTGTTTTTCTTTTGGTTTCCCCCCCATTTCCGATGGGTCCTGCATGCTTCCCTTGCTTTTTCCTTTGTTCTCTGTGCATTTCTGATCTGCTCCGTTTGTTTTCTGTGCATTTCCAATGGGTCTTGCACGCTTGATTGCTTTTCTCCCCCCCACTTCGGCCGGAAGGGATTAATCGTGTTTCCAATGAGTCTTGCAGTGATTTTTTTTTGGGGGGGGGCGTGATTTTTTTCTTTGGCCGGAACAGATTAATTGCATTTCAGTGAATTCCTATGAGAAATGGTGCTTCGACTTACGACCATTTCGAGTTAGGTCCATCTTCTGGAACGGATTATGGTCATAAATCGAGGCACCACTGTCTAGAATTCACAAGTAAAACATTCAAAAATTCATTGGCTTTAAGAGTCTTGGGTGTATGGTTACATCTCACATACAGTAATTTATGACCTATGTTTGGTGTTCAGTTCTACTGTAAACACTCCCACAGCAAGGAGGAGATAGCAAAACCTTCTAAAAGGCTTTCAGGGTGTTTCCCTGCTATACCAGATCAATTCACGTAACAAAGACCACAGTGTGCTTGGCAAAATCTGAGGAGGTCCACGGATCAAGACAAGCAACTCTCAAGTACACAAGGCAAGACAAGTAACCCTGCTACAATCCGAATGAAGGAAATGGAGAGACAAATACCTCTTTATGATCTCCGGCCATTATGATCAGAGGGGGAAAATACTCTAATCAGTTCCGAAGTTTCTCAATAAAAGCATCCAAGCTTAAATCGCATGAAGTATTTGAGAAGCTGAACTCCAATCCATGACCTTTGGTGTTAGTTCAAGAACTAGCAAGTTCTCGAAAGGGCCATGCAACTCTTTGGTCTTTTCCAGATCAAAAAAACCACACTACACGTTAAAAATATATATGTGAAGATTCTCGGTCGTCCAGGTGAGGTCACCTGGAAGTTAAGTCATGGCAACGGGACTTCTTTCTTATTGGGCTGAAATGTTTCGCTACTCATCCAAGGACTGAAGAAGCGACTTGGATGAGTAGCAAAATGTTTCAGCCCAATAAGAAAGAAGTCCAGTTGCCATGACCCAACTTCCATATGAGTTTAAGACATCCAAGTTCCCTATGGGGTTGGGCCTCCTCCACCTCTTGTTTCTCAAGGATGTCGTATCACCTGTGTCTGGCCAGCTTTCCAGACTGCAACCCACAGAATCTTTCGCCATTGCCTATATTGGCTAGGGCCATCACGGTCCACCCATGTTGTACAGGAGCGTCAGGAGCGAATTACAAGCAGGGAGGGGAAGGAAAGCAAACAAGAAAACCAGCCCTGTGGATCTGATTATATGCCGGGTTGTTTTCAAGCACCACTGAAAACAACAGGACGTCTTGCAGGCTACAGTCCACAGATCATGCCCCCCCAAAAAAACTTCTTACCCTTTAGGTTGCCATAAGAATCTTGTACAAACATCGATAATATCAAATGACCGATTTTTCCCATCTTGTCACTACCCCCCAAGATGCTGGGGTTGTGAAGGCAGAAGACTTGGGAAAAAAAAAATATGGGAGGTGGTGAGTGCTCCAACGCTGGAAGTGTTCCAAGAGGAAATGGGACACGAGTGCTCCAATGCTGGAGGCGTTCAAGAGGAAATGGGACACCCCTCTGTCCAATCTGCTTCGATTTGGATTCCTGCCTTGAGCAGGGGGTTAGACTCGATGACCTTCGAGGGCCCTTCCAACTCAACTACTCTATGATTCTCTCCGTTGCCCGTTTTTATAACTATATTCAGCAATCTGTTCTCTAACACTCTTTGACAGAATGGGTTCTTATCAGAACAGGAAGGGGCCAGCACACCACCGCCACCTTCTCCCCCCCACGGTGAGACACCTTGCCCTACAGATGCCAACCGACAAAGACCACGTGGATTCACAAAACAGACTCTCGAGAAGCAAAGCCGTAGATGCCAAGAGGAAAACCAAGGAACAGCTAAGAGAAACGGCAGCCTGGCCCGCACGAGGACAGGTAGCTTCGACGGCCATCAGGCCAGGTGGTCTCAACCAAGAGAGCAACCAAGCACTTACCATCACTGTAATGCCATCTTTCTCCAGCGGAGTCTTATCATAGGTTATTTCACATACTCTCACTACTGTGGTTGCACCGTACTTCTTCAGGTCCTGCACAGAAGACAGGGAGAACAGATGGTTTTGAGTCCACCTACCTTTCTGACCCGTGTACATCAGTGCCAGCAGTTGTTGTCTCATGGTCTACACACCCTGGCCAACCTGATTTTCTTTTTCGAAAGAACTAAATTCCTTTACATCGTTCACCCCTATCAATATTGGGCTCCTGAAAGCAAGCAGAAACACTGGACGGATGAAACATACATAATTATGGGGGAGTAAATCATGCAACCCTCTTCTCTTTGAAGAGAAGCAATTACTCGGAGATGGAGTTCAACTTTATGTGTAGTCTCCCAGGTTCGAATCTTACCCTCCTCAAATCTCCTCTTAAAAAGAACTAGATGACTAGTAAAGACCATTCCCAGAGAGTCACATTAGAGAAGGATACTGGGCTAGTTGGATGAGCTGATTGCCCAGTTTTTCATTCTTTATTTAGGGAAAACAAAGACTAATAATAACAAAGAAGCAAGAAAGCTATGCTGGATCAGACCAAACACATGTTTACTTGTATCTTCTGTTCCCCATGCTGGCCAACCAGCTGTCCCTGGGAACCTATAAGGCAGCACCTAAGCACAGCAATACCTCTTATTTAATGTCAGTCAGCAACTAAGTTAATATGTAGAAACAAACTGCACTCCTGAAAGCATATAACCAGGTGAGACTCATAGAATGAACCAGGTGGCAGGCTCAGTCTCTGATGTATTGCAACATGAGCTCTGGCTCTAAGCTGTTTATGGATGTAACCACCCCGCTGAAGCTAAGCAGGTGTGGGCTGGGGAACTGCCAGAATGACAGACCATTTGGGAATACCTTATAGGCTGCCTCAACTTCGACAGAGAAGGGGGTGGGAGAGAGAAACAAATAGAATGAATACAGAAGGCTTAAATAAAACTGCAGAAATGGGATTTGCATCAGCAACTACCCAATTTATGGCTTAGTTGCTTAACCACTATACCAGCTACGTACATGTTCAATTATTCTCGATACCTCCTGCTTCTTGGCAATTTGGAATTCCAGAATTTAACATGTACCTCTAACCTTGGACTAGCTGTGTCCTCGCTAAACTTTCTTTAGTTACCTAGTTCTTTCTTTCCTAGAGGCCATGCACACAAGCAATTATCCTCTGGTATTCCAACTTGAACCAAAACTTGGAAGTTGTAGGCCAGCGTTTTTCCTCATTCTGGATTTTGAGGGCAGCTCAGTGGTTTCGGTCTCTGGTGCCTCCTTGACTGGGGCTGGACTCCCTGAACCGTAGGGTCCCTTCCCGCTCTGCAGTTCTACGATTATTATTACTCCAGCCTAACACAACAACCTTCCACTCAGGCTCTCAGACACTTTTTATGCCTCAGAAGCGTTTAGATAAGGGCAATGCAATTATGATACAGAGAAAGCTGTGAGAGATTTTTGCCTGTCAGAATTTATGAGCTTACACAGTATCCATCCATCTATCATCTGTGTCATCATTCCTGAGCCACTACCTACCTACCTACCTACCTACCTACCTCCCTCCCTACCTACCTACCTACCTACCTACCTACCTACCTACCTACCTACCTACCTACCTACCTACCTACCTACCTACAGCATCCACTATTTTGGGTGGCTTACAAACACAAACATAAAATAAAATTCACTAATAAGCACAGGTTAAAATAACAAACAGAAAAGGACCCCCCCCCCAAACTAATTATATTTAAGGCCATTGCCTAACACAAAAGACGATGGGAAGAGCATCGGGCCGTCAATAATTAAGCAATGGGCTGTTAGTAATTAAAAGCAGTAAAACTACGTAGGGGCAAGACTGTGGAAAGCTGAGGAGGGTGGCGATGCACTTCCACCAGATGGGAGTGCCACGAGAAGGGGGCCACCACTGACAAGGCCACCTACTACATCAGGGACTCGGCGCCCATTTTGGAGCCGCCGAACAGCTCCTTTAGGGTGGCCACCTACAACATCAGGGACTGGGGGGGGCAGGAGGTGGATCTGAGGGAGAGGTATTCTGACAAATAGCAAGGCCCTAAGCTGTTTGGGGCTTTGAATGTCAACATTAACACTGAGAACTTGCACCTGGAAGCACATTGGCTAGGCCGCTTCTAAACTGGACAAGTGGAGAAAGCCAACCTAGACAAGATCAGAGATGGCATTTTTAATTTCCTAGCTGAGATCAGAAGGGAAAGAGATTCTGGCTGCTTTTAAAACAAACTCTATTGGCAACCTTTTTTTTTAAAAGGAACTAACGGGAGTACACAAAGCAAAACACAGAGGTAGGGGGGGCCACCTCTGAATCCCTTTGCAGCCCCCTGCTACTTTTAGAGACAAGTTTGTACAGCCAGAGGACGCTGAATATCTTCTTCTGCTCCTCTCAAGAGTAAACAAGGGCATTTATTTTTAATCCTTGTAGGTATGCAATAGTTCAGCTAGTTGCCCGTGTAACCAGAACAACATCTGTGGACAACACAGCTGATCTAAGTGGGGAAGGACGAAGGGAAGGCATATGTACGTATAGCTAAAAACAGCACGCTGGCCATGAGCCCAGGTATTAAAGAGAGGGCAGGCGATGTCAAGCAAATGCTAGCGGCTCTGGAGGGGCCAAAGAAGCACCCGGGGGAATAGAAAGAGAGCAAAAGAGAAGGGGGGGGAAAGCAAAGCGCACGGAGGAAAAGGAAGCAGCGAAAAACCAGCTCACCTGGTCTGCTTTGCAGGTGAACTCATTTGGCGTCACCTGGGCATGTCTGAGCAGGTTCAGCCACCAAGCCCATCCTAACCCTGTCGTTAGGATAATCATGTCAAACCCGTCTGCAGAACAGAACATGAGCAAAAGGTGTGTCGACAGCTGTGCGGAGGGAAGGAAAAGGCCCTCCCGGATTTCGCTTATGGCATTTAAAAGTTGTCAACAGCCACCGCAAATCACTCTGAACACTTCTGTGGCCAGGTGAACCCAGGATTTGCTTTTCTGCTCGATTTAGGGCAGTTCCAGAAGCACCTGGGAGGACCCCTGATCAAAGCTAGATCTTGCCTCCATCACTCCAAACGACAGTCATACTAAGAACACATTTGAGGCCTCAGAGCAGGCCAAGTGATGTGAAAATTTGCACATCATAAGGGGGGGGGGTGTTTGTGTCCAAGTTGCGCTAGATCCGGCACCGATTCCTGGAATGGTCTGCCATGAGAAGAGATTCATTTTATGTTTCTCCCAAGACTTTCCGGTGCTCAGCCGATCCAAGATCTAATCCCCACTCTTACTTACGCTGCAGAGACTCACGTAAACCGAACAATGTGGAAGCACCTCACAAAGAATGCTCAGACGGGAAAGGAAGATGGGCATTCTGCCCAACAGTGCATTTCCTCTCCTGCTGGATGAGACTGCGAGAGTTTCTGTATCAGGAATTCTCCCTGTTTTGGTGACCTGAGAAGCAGAGAAGAGGAACTGTCTCCTCCTTAGGGCTTACAAAATTTCTGGAACAGGCCCTGGAGGATTGTCCCCACTGGGGGAGAAAAGTGGGATAAAAATCAGATGAGTGGGTAAATGTGGAATCCAGCCACCTTTCCAATGGGCATTTGGCACAAAGAAAGGTCATAATTCAAAGGAGAGACCCATGAGCATCCTTACGGTGACAAACCAGATGCCTCCAGGAAGGCCACCAGCAGGACCTGTGTGTGTTTGCACCCCCTTCTTGGTTTCTCAGAATCTGGTATCTAGAGTAACAGAGGCCTAATTCTGGAGAAGTGATGTAGGTATCTGGCTATGGGGCCAGAGGTTGAGAGTTCGATTTTGCGTCGTGCCTCCTAGGAGAACAGTCAACCCGCGTAGCCCTGGGCAAGCTGCACAGCTCCACAAAATCGGAAGTGAGCACTCCATACAGAGAAAATCCTGAAAAGCGGTGCTAGAGATTTGAAAGAAATCACTGAAAACGCTGTTGCTCTAGCACACTGGTTCTTAACCTTGGGCTACTCAGGAGTTTTGGACTGCAACTCCCAGAAGCCTTCACCACCAGCTGTCCTGACTGGGGTTTCTGGGAGTTGCAGTTCAAAAGCATCCGAGTAACAAAGGTTAAGAACCACTGCTCTAGCAGGCTTTTCAGAATAATCTATCTCTGGAGACCACTGGCTCTAGTAACCTCTAACCTGATCTAATTACCACCTATTTTTGAACGTTTTTATGTCTTTTAAAACATACAGTTGATTTTGCTTTGATTCTGAATGTTTTAGTTCTCTTGTGTTGTGATTATTATGTTATTTTCACACAGTAAACCACCCAGAGTGGCCTTTGGCCAGAAGGCGGTATATATATATAAAAAATGAAATCAATTGATCAATTTTCTTACGTAATTCATTCTTGATTTAGGGTTTGCTGCCTTCGGCACAAAAAAGTGGTTCGCATTCAGCACGTTCCTGCTACCCGCCTGGAACGACTTACCTCAATGAAGGTATTCAGCGTGGCATTGGTAGGATTGTGGGTGATGAGAAATCGCATGTTTTTGTAGCAGACCTCCACGGGCGCAGGCCTGTTCATACGAGCCATGATGGGGGCGAGGGAAAAAAAATTAAGATGGACGGGAGGGGAGGTCGAAGTGAAAACAAAACACACACACAGACACCCTGAAGAGAAAGAACAGCAGGGCAAAAAAAAAAAAGGCAATCAAAAATAACCCTGGTGGGCGGGCGGGCGTTCAGCAAAAGATGGTATTTCCTTTTCCTCCAATGAACACAAATTGTGCAAAAACTCCCAGTGTTATGGTGAACGTGTAGGTGGGATTCTCTGAAGCATCCAATTAAAAAAAACACGAAACCCTGCAGTTGTTGATGTGGAGTAAAAAAAAATTCTGCGTGTGTGTAATTAGAAGGTGTCGTCGTTGTCGTTCGGCGTCGTTCGGCTTCCCTTCTGAGCTCTCCTCTTTAGAAAGGCCTCTGCATTCAGTTAACCCCACCGGCGGCGTCGCTCTTGCGCCGTCACGTTACCCCATCTGGATGTGTGTAAGGTTTCGGCGCAGCGGTGGGAGCCCGACGCAGGTCAGGCCGGGGTGGCAGCCGGCGGAAGTCCTCCTTCGGCTGCAAGAGCCATACAGGGAAGATCGGAATGGTGAAGCCCCCAGGGTTGGCGGTGCCGGCTTCTGGCGGGGCTGCGGCGGTCTCGATTCAACGGGCGGGATGTTGCGCGTGGCAAGGCTCAAAGGTGCGGCCAGGCCCCTCCATAAATCCACAGCTCCTCAGCATGCGAGATAATCTGAGGGGAAGAACAATGAGGCGTGGGGGGGGGGGAAGAGAGAAGGGAGAGATGTCTTTCATTAAGGGAGGAATCTAGGTCAACACTGTGATGGATTTAAGTTGGAAATCATACAACAATGTGACAGCTAAGCAGTGGCATTCATCTACAACAGCCTCCTGCAGTCTTGTGCACTCTCAATGTTTTCGAACCTTCGTGCCACCCAGAACGAATGGATCTGGCTTGATTTTGGATGCTGACGCAAGATCCTTGGGTACGGATACCTTTTGGGTAGGATATGGGATGCAGCACTAGGGAGAGGTGGACCCATAGGAGATCTCACATGGAATTCTCCAGCATCTCCAGGTGGGCTATGAAATAATCCTGTCCCAAACACTGGGGAATTCGGTCAGCCAGAATTGGCAATGCTGGATTAGATGCACCCACCAAGGGTCTGACTCAGATTAATAACCTTAGAACTATAAGACTGGAAGGGACCCTATGGATCATAGGAGTTCAATGGATGTCAAGGAGGAACAGCGGGGAATCGAATTCCCAACTTCTGGCTTCAAAGCCAGAGAGCTAAATCAATGCACTATGTTCCTATCCCAATATCTCTGGGTATTCCTGGCTATCACCCCACATTTAAAGTGGTTACTGAGGATGGGAATTGATTAACCCATTAATTAACCCATCTATCCATCCATCTCTCTTTCTCTCCATCCATCCATCAATTTCATTTCATTTTATACTGCCTATTTGGCCAAGGGGCAACTTTGGTCGGTTTACAACAAAAACACACCACAGCACGGTTAAAATACCAGTTCAAAAGAACAGAAAACAAAAATAATATAATACAAATAAACACTCCAAGCCAAATGCTTTAAAATATATTTGCATAAATAAACATTTCAAAAGACGGAATTGGTCAAATCACGGCTAGAAGAACTCGGCTGACTCTGCAGATGTTAATATTTCGAAATTGCCTGCCAAAATTACATGGGTTTTAGTGCCTCTTTAAAAAAAATAACCAGTGAAGGGACCAGATCAATTGCGGGGGGGGGGGAGTTTATTCCACAGGTGAGGAGCAGCTCCCGAGAAGGCCCTGTTTCTCCTTCCTTCCTTCCAGAAACATCTGGAAAGCTGACAGCTGTAGCATGCTACTACTCTAGAGAAGAGATTTCAACACACACACACCGGCTACCTTACCAGCTCTCGCCTTTCTGCATAAAAACAACAGAATACCAGAAAGTCACACACCCTGCAGACAGCTTGATTTCCGGCAAGCAGCACTGCAAGGTGGATCGCCCCCCCCTTCTTTCTTTGCTAGAAGTGGGACTCCATGGGCTGGAGCACACCAGCTTGACCTGACCCAGATTACTCTCCTGTCACAGAAGAGGATCCATGAGGTCACAATAGGCGCCAGGGAGAGGAAAGCTGGGCAGCAAAGAAGCACATCGGGAGCTAAGAAAATTCCCGTAGCATCATCTTCATAAGCCAGCAAGAAGGGAGGAGGAGTGAGGAGACGACCAAGACTGCTAGCATCATCTTCATAAGCCAGCAAGAAGGAGGAGGTGAGGAGACGACCAAGACTGTGCAAAGCCTCTCAGAAACATCACAAGCTGCCTACCAGCAGGTCCTTTCCTCACCGTATAAATGGCTGCCTTATCCAGGAAGGCAGTTCAACAGGTGCAGCTGCGTGGTTGGTTCCGCAATCAGGATACCTGGGTTTAATGTCCCATGAACTTAGACAGGCCTAACCTTATGCTATACCCAGTCTGGCACAATTTCAGTCACCACCAGACCACATACATGAAATGCCAAAGAAAAGAGAGATGCATTTATTGGCAATGTAAATGGTGAATTTTTTTTTTTAAATAGGTATTCTGGCATCTTAAAAAAAAAACTAGATTTATTTCCGCATGAGATCTGATGGATTACAGTCCACATTCTCAGATAAAGACTTAGCCACAGATGTACGTACATGTATAGACTGTGACAATTAATTACCAGGTAAGCCATGGTTTACTTTGAAGTCCAGAGATGCTGATTCTGAGGCACAGCAAGCAACTTTTGTCTGCACACAAGATTATGCCCCATTGCAAAGTCGTTAAAACTGCAGTAGTGCAATCAAGCCTCTGCTCACAAGCTGAGTTCAATCCCAAAGGGATCAATTAGCCAGCTTGGGGTTGATTCAGTCTTCTCTCCTTCCAAGGTCAGTAAATCGGAAGGGTGGGTGGGGGAGTGTTCCTTGCATATCTGGACCAACGGTCCATAGAGTGGACCGTTGGTCCAGATAGGCGGGATAAAAATCAAATAAATAAATAACCTTGCAAACTGCTCGTAGAAGTGTTCTAGCACTATGGGATGAATAAATAAATAAATAAATAAATAACCTTGTAAACTGCTCGGAGAAGTGTTCTAGCACCATGGGATTGTATATCAGTTGAAATAATCATAATCATGATGATGATAATAAAAACCATATGTGTATCTTTGTGTCTGTAGTGAACATGGGGTTTATTTAAACCTTCAGATGCACTCTGGAATTTTTGAATATAACCTCATTAACTTTCTCTTTCTCAAACCTCCCTTCGTCATTTCTTTATTTTAAAATGCCCACTTTATAAGCTACATGTCCTGGCTAAACAGGAAATAAACCTGGGCCACAGATCCAGGAGCACCTAAGGCTACCTCCCTACCCAAGACTCGACAACAGCATTCTTGCAAAGAATTGCTCCACAGTCATCAAATCCAGATTTCTAGCCCACCAGCTCCAATCCTAATGTGGGCTGAAAGCACCCAAGTTAAGCAATAAATCAGAAGCAAGGCGAAAGCTCCCTCTGTATGATTTATCTTTGAGAAAATAAACAGGGCCAGTTGTCAGATCTCTCCTGGGCATTTTCTCTTAGCCTATACTACATTCTTGGCCTCTCTCCGAATTGTCTACCTAGGCACAGAATACTCCAGGGCTTTCAAGGTGTGTGAAACCTGGGGGGAAATGCACATACAGTTACTTTTTTGGGAGTACAATTCTATGCTCAGCGAGGCGGAGGAATCAAAGAATTATACTAAAATAGGTGAACAAACAATTTATCCAAGCCCTGGGTGCATGGTGCATCACTAAAACTGCTTTATAACGGCGCCCTCCCAAATCCATAAAAAGCATATCCTTATGACTCTCGGAGTGTTCATCACTTCCTCTTGCTTTTTGGGCACAGACCTACCCAGTTAAAACTGGAACTTCCAATTTGGGCATATCTTAGCGTTGGCATGACTCACATGCCTACAACCAATGGCTTAAAATTCTTATTTACTCAACAACTCATCTACCGACTTGCTGTGGAATGTGTCGTGAGTGGGTGAACTGCTGGTATGGATGAGCAGCCTGGTTTGGTGATCTGAGTGCATTGCTTATAGAGCATGAACAAATATGAATGAACTTGCTCTTCGCATATAACTCAAAGGGGAGGGGAAGACGGTCACGCCACATTCCACGAATACGTCTGTCTGAAGCCAGCCTGTGTTCCTGCAGGGATTCGTGGAAGAAGAACTGGAAGGGCCAAGAGGTGGAGAGAGGTTTTTATGCAGAAGAGGCATGGAGACACGGAGGGGGAACCTTGAGGTTGTGGAACTTGCTGTCC